CAGTTTGTTTTTGTATTTTAATAATTCATCTTTTTAGAAATTATAACTGGAAGATTCTCAAATCTCAAGGCCAACATTCTCTACCCACTGTGTATAATTTTTTAAAAAGACTTTTTATTGTTATTGGATACACACGGACTCTTAAGAACAGAGGAGAACCGCCCCATAGTTTCCAAGGCTGAATTTGATTTTCTGGAAGACAAATTTCCCAACTTTCTCCTGGGTAGCACCTGGTGGATTCAAATCTTTCAGTTAGCAGCTGAGTCCTTAAACACTGCGCCACCAGACTTCCTATTCAGCTTTGAGGGCTTATTAGTCACTTTGCAATCAGTTCCTCATATTACTCGAATATTTCTTCCATCTGTGAGTTCTAGGAAATAATTTTAAAAAGTGTTGCAAAGCATCATTAGGGACTTTATATTGAACCATGTGAAAGGTCATCTGGTTTTTTGTTGTTGTTGTTTTATCTTATTAATATCCTTAGAAATGATCACCAGGAGAATCTTAAATCTGGAGGCCAGCAATCCCTCCTTGTTTCACGTCATTAAAAACACAACATTTTATTGGGATTTGCTATGTAAAAATAGCAACTATTGATACACATTTTGTTTTGTGACATTGATCAAAATCTCGATAATGTTGTAACGTTACCCACTTTTCCCTGGATTTGCTGTTTCCATTTGTCCTTCCTTCCAATGCCTTACTGCATTTTACACTTTATCCCTGCATAAATGCTGCCCTTTTGATCTTGAATGTTTGATTGTTTTGAGGACAGAGCTTACCTCAGTGTTCACTATATAGGATTGTTTATCTTTGGGCTGAAAGTTAAGTCATGGGAAGGAGTTCAGTTCCCAGCCTGAAAGGTTTCCAAGAACCACATTCTCTGGGATTCTACAAGTCTCCTTTCAGACCATAAACCTAGTCTTTTTCATGGTTTTTATTTTTGTTCCACATTTTTCTCCCACACAATCATGATCTCTTATTGTGATTCCTTTTAGAGCTGTGGCAAATACATTCATGAATATACTAGAAAATACAGGAGACAAAGTCATGAAAACATCTTGAGGAAATGAGTCACTTGCCCTGGGGGTGAAGGCACATAATCTCAGGACATATCAAGGTCAACTAGCATAACATGGTCCACAAAGACGATGTTCTACATACCTTAATATTTTGAGAGTGCAAACACTTCAGGCTTATTCTGCTATCCACACTTGTTCTCTTCCCTGAAGCACGTACGTGGTATTTGTACATTCCATTTCTGTATTTCACTGTTTAAAATGGGCTGGTGGTTTCAGATTTGTACTCAAAATAGATATTAAATTAAGTAAAATGTTGAAATAAACTTTTGTTCTTGATTCCAAATTTAAAGTCTCTTGTCTTACTCTCTAAAAATGAAGGATAAGGTTAATCTGTCATGAATTTCATCAGCTTTATCAAATTCCATCAAAAGCTCTGACTAGATAATAAAAAAATAAGAACCAGAAAACAGTCTGTAACAACTGTGTGAGAGGAATTGTGTTGCTCCTACCGTAATTTCTTGCTGAAATGAAAAGCAGCATTATTTTCCATAATTAATTTTTATCTTGGCTCATTAAATATTTTAATATGTCAAATTTGCATAAGCAATGAATTATCTTCCAATAAGGAAGGGAAAAAGATCAAAGAATTTTAAGTGGTCATTTTTTATGAGACAAATGCTGTCGCTCCAACAGTGGCTATACTCCATGACCCATGAAGATAGATTAAACCTGAGTAGGGGCAATGGGAGATTAGAAAAAAAGGAAGACACAAGACACAAAATGAAAATATTAAAGTTGGGACCAGGTGGGACAGCACTCTGATGAAGATACTGCGACTCAGACCTAGATTCAGAATGTTTATTATATACACATATCAAAAGAGAGTGTTGTGGGCAGGGAAAAGAGTGCCAAAAACATCTGGTCTTATTGATGCAAGTAGTAAGCGGGACTTTATCAGAAGAATGTAACTTGTGGTTGCTAAGGAGAAAGAGATAGGGCAGCTAGATATTTTTGTAGACTTGAACTGAAGGTCATACAAGGAAAAAACCTTCCAAGTTCCCTGTCCCCCAAGGCAGCCCTTCAAGTTCCTTAGGGGGCAGCTTGACCTGGGAGTAGCTGGATTTTCTAGACCACAACTGTTCAGTTGCAATCCTTTGGTTAAACATACCCCAAGTCTGAGACCTTCAGCTCAAATAGCTCCCAACAAAATGCTATGTTAGAATTCATCATTAAATAACCTTTATTCATTCTATACAAACATGTTTAGCTTTTAGGAGTTTAGTTCCATTTTATAGTAAAAACAATACTCAAAATACTTAATAAAGTTGATTGAGATTTGAGTCAGGAACACTTGGGCCTCCTAACAACAGCAACATGTATAAGCTGAGTCTTAGATGTTTGCCATCCAAACATATAGTTCACAGTGTACACTAGTAAACTAATAGTTATAGCTGAGTTAGTTGTGCTAAAGTAATTGGTCCTGTCACAGAAAAATAGTTCTTATCACACCCAAAATCATAAACTTCCATTTCCACTACTGAAACTCATTTCTTTGTTTAATTAACAAACAAGATACAAAAGAAGTGATCAGCTGTTGATTACAGGCTTCTAAAATTGGATGAGTTGTATTTCTGTATAGTACACTTTCCTATTCTAGCAGATAGAACTAATAACCTTTAGAGAAAATAGAATATTGGGCATTGAAATAAATGGATTTGCTTGTTGAACTGGGTAATCCCTAAAGTCCTTTCTTGCCAAATAGTTGTGTACTAGGGAAAGTCACTCTAACCATGGAGACAAAGACCAAACTGTGTCCTATTATCACTCTTCCAATTAACATCTTATGTAATGAAAATCTCAGTGTAATGAAGAACAAAATCACTTTCACTAAAAAAATACTTGTCATGCCCAGATTCAGTGTTTAATTCAGAACGTTTTTTGGGCATCTAAAATAACTATGTCTTTGAATCTTCTTTTCATTCATTTGCTGTTTTCTTTATTTACAACATAAAAATAACATTTCACAAGGAATAAACTGATAAATATTTCTGAGAAGAAGAAAGCAAATTTGGTTCGTCATCCAGTGCTTTGGGCTTTGTGCAAGGAAAATATTCAAAATACTTTCATTAAAGTACTGACAACTAAGCTCACTGCCTTTATGTCAATTTGAACTCACGGTGACCCT